TTTTTTGCAAAGTTTTGCATTTTATCACTATCGTTTTGTCTTATACTGTGCAACAGAGACTTCACATTTGTTCATGTGTATAAACCAGGAGACTCTCCACATTTGCCATTCATCATTTTGACAGAGTAATACAAATACAGGAACCTCTGATGCTGTGATTACGTGACTTTCTGAAAGGGGGACTATAAATATTCCTCAGATTTCATGCCGTCATAGAACAGCGAACGCCTCAGTGTGAGCTTTAGCGATCAGCGAAACCGGTAAGCCAGAAATTACTAATTGAACACTTGGTCTCCATCAAACACACATGTGGTGAGCATCGCGGTGGCGGAGGTGTTGCCACGGCAGAGGTTTCAGGTTTTTATTTGTTTCTTAGCATTTTGATGGTCAGATGTGAATAAGCGCACATGTTGATGGGCATCAGAAAAACGAACATATATGTTCCTTCCTTCCTTCCTTCCTTCCTTCCTTCCTTCCTTCCTTCCTTCCTTCCTTCCTTCCTTCCTTCCTTCCTTTGCACTTTGATAATTACATCATATTTAGTCTGAAGCTGTGACATTTCTAAATGAATGGACATGGTGAAAATATAATTTTGAAAAATTAACCTTCATTTATTTCCTGCAGTAACAGGCTAACTAGCCCAAATTATTGGGTTATTTCCTTCTCCTTTCCTCCCTTCCTTTGCTTCTTTCCTTCCTTCCTTCCTTCCTCCGTTCCTTCCTTCCTTCTCTGTATGCAAATCCTGTATCTCCTCCAAATTCATGGAGTGAGTCACTAAACAGGAAGAATGACCTGTTGGGTTCTGCCAGCTGTTGCACATCAGGCTTCCTGTCTTAATGTAGGAGTTTGCTCTTTGTTGCGCTCGGTTTCTCAGGAAGAGCAGAGAAACACGGTGAGTTAGAGACCGAGATGGTCAGAGCATGCAGCCGAAACTCAATCAATCATACGTGGGATTTCAGTGTTGTTGCTGTCGGGAATCTGGACGCTGCAGCTTGCAGACCAGTGAGGAGGATTCTTGCCGTGTTATCAGGTAACACTTTACTATAATTTATGAACTATTAGAGAGCGTGTGGACACTGGTCCGCTGCCCAAGGTGATTTGTTAGGAGGATTATTGAACAAACCGTGCAGATTGATGAGTCATAAACAGCTGCAAGTTTTTACACTTGAACCTGAAATAACTCCACTTTAATAGTTTCCCATTGGACTTCTCTCCGCTAAGGTTTTCTGTTCCTGATTTAAATCCTATAAACATGTGGTCTTACTTTAAATAAAGTCCAAACTGTATAAAGACTAATTAAGTTTTCCTCAGATGTCCCCTCTGCTCTTTCTCACAGGTCTGTTGTCATTTTTTTATTTTTTCAGTGTCCAGTCTTTATCACATTTCCAAAGTCTTCTATAGTGGTGAAAAATGACTTCTTCTTTTTTTTTCACCAGTTCACCAGCTGAAGCGGGTTCATTATCCTCGCTAACTAACTCTCTTCCTGCATCCACATCATGTCGGAACAACAGAACTGCCCTTTGTGTTAAACTTTTTCTTTTTTTTTTTTTAAGACACAACTCAATGGGGGAATGGCAGAAGAATGGAGGGAAAGAAAAAACGGAGGGAGGTGAGGAGGAGGGTTGTGAAAATTGCCATTGGCTGCCACCCAGGGCCCGGTCTTTGTGGTAATGAAGGGTTAGAGGCAGCGTTATTGCTCCCAGATGCCGTGCGGCTCCTCCACATCGCTTTGATGAACGGCCCAAGTCACCAGGACTTTTCTATCAAACTCCCATCGACGCGCACGTTACCGCACACACACACAAACACACACCCACCGAGCATGCAGACCCTTAAAACAACGTGAAGGCATTAAACAAGCGTCTTCTCGGTTTTTTTTTTTTTTTTTTTTTTTTTTTACACCATACCAATCAACTCCGATTTGTTAATTGGCTCCGGGATGTGTAAGGGTCACCATGTACTCATGCGTGTTCTGTGGGGTGTTAGGTTTCCACGTGTGATTATGTGTGATTAACATTCACAAACGGTGCCTGAGCTCTTCAGATTTTCAGATGTTGTATTCTTTTTCCTTTTTTTTATTTTTTTGAATGGTGAGCAGGAGGGCGAGATGCATGTATGAATGCAGGAGGGAATTTCCTCTGGCTCTAATGAATGAGTTTTTACTCACTCGCACAACAGATCCATGCAAACTGCACTTTATTCACACACCAACTACAACACGCGCTGACTGACTGGGGTGTATTTATGGACGAAGGAACACTGAAAAGAAAAATTGAAACAGGAAGAGTCCACTCCAAAACCAGATTAGTGGTTTAGTCAACACAGACTTCCAAGTCTATGTTGACTTGAAAGTCAGAGTTTGGGCATCAGAAAAGTAAATTGGCTTGAAAAAGTAGTAATCACCACTGGGCTGCGTTTTAGTGGGACTTTCTGTGATAGACCAACACAAAGTTGTGCATAACAGCAAATTGATATAAAATTTAAAGCTGGTTTTAACGCTTCTTGCGATTAAATCGTTTATTCGGTCCTTTTTAATCTTCATAAATTAAATCCAGTGCAAGCACCTTCCCTGAGCACTCTCCTTACTGGTAAGTGGAGTCCGTTTGTGTGTAATTTATTCTTGTTGGAGATACATCTGCTCTTTGAAGCCCTAGGAGGTTGAAATGTTGAAAGGAAGCCATAAAATGATTCAAATGCTGCTTGACTTCAAAATTTATCAAGGTTCTCCTTTTCCACAATGTCATCATAGGGCCTTCATGCAAAGTTTTTTTTTGTGTGGTAAGGAACAAAAAAAACAAACAAAAACATAACAAAAAACTTGCCCAACACACCATCGCAAACATGCAGCAGCATCATGCTGCAAGGGTCAGCATCAGCAGACTTACTGGGAAGCTGGAGGAAGACAAATGTAGCGCAGTCCCAGAGGAAAAGCTATCAATATCTGCGAAAGATAACACTAAAGATAACGCTGATTAGACAGCCGGAGCTGTGATTGAATGGTTTAGATTAAGGCTCAGACGTGTATTAGAATGGCCCAGTCAAAGTTCAGAACTGAATTAGACTGACTTTGAGCTCTTTGGTGGGGAAGAAAAGGCAAATATTTTAGTCTCTGCAAAGTTTTGACTCAGGGAAATTGAATATAAATGCATGTCACACTTTATTAGAATTTATTAGAAAACCATATATCATTTTTCTTCCGTTTTGCAAGAAGGCTCCACGTTGTGTCTCGTAAAATTCCGACAAAATACGGAAAAGCTTTTGGTTGCTCAGTTATAAAAATTTGGGAGAGTTCAAGTAGTCTGAGAATTTTTTCAAGGCCTTAAAGTATTTCATAAGTCAGCCTATAGCGCCTCTTTGCATCTGTCTGTTTGAATCAGTCCCAAAGTGTGAATTTTATGTCGACTGCATTCTACAGACTAAGGTCAAATAAAGTGCTTGCGTGCTTTTGTTTGTTTTCCCATGTGTCCGTGTGAGTGTGTGCTTAACGTCTGAAATCTGTATCGTTGCCCACTCACGCTGACTTTCAGTTTACGGGAGCACGTGAGAAAGCGCTCAGTCTACATCCCTGAACACTCGCTAGCAGAGAAACTCCTTAAGAATTGATCCGATTGTCAGAAAGAAAACAATATGATGCTGCCACATTGCCACGCCGTTTATACCTGCTGACACGGACATCAAATCTATCAAAACATCGCAGCAGTTGTAGTTCTTTATGTCTGCTTTTGTTAATTAGACTTTCCCTTCAACATCTAGACACCCAGTAGTCCTCTGCACTCCTCCTCCTCCTCCTCTTCCTCCTCCATCTTTTCCAGTTCTCCTGACTGGATTTACTGGCCAGAGGAAAGGAAAATGTATGAATCAGTCCAAGGCTGCTCACTCCCCGGGAGAGGGGAAAGCCAGGGAGTGAGGGGAACAAGGGAACTGAAAAGAAAATAAAAGAACGAGGAACGCCAAGAAACAGAAATGCTGAACCAAAAGAAATAAAAGAGAAAAAGGGGGAGGGAGGATGGGAGTGGGATATTCACCAGTGCTATAAATGATGATGTCAGCATTGAGCAGTCTCGGGCGATTGCTTGATTTTTGCTTTTTTTTTTTTTTTTACTTATGTGTGTGTGAGTGTGTGTAGTAGACACCAAGGAGTGCTGGCTTGTTTGTGTGTTCCTTTGTGTGCCTGTGGAGATTTTACAGGAGGATTCAGGGGATATGACCATTTGGCTGCACAGGTCATAAATCCTTTGATGAAGGAGTTTGGTCTCACGTGAAAACCCTTGCGTCCATTCCTTCTTAACTCTGACACGCACACACGCATACACACGCATACACACATGGTTGGGCAGGGCACGCCTGCGGTTAGCCTTCCAGATGGTTTTAAGGTTAGTTAGAGAGTACTATAAGAAGAGCAGCGTATGTGTGTGCGTTGAGTGCATGTTTTTAGAAACTCTGTCACCCTGGCTTATTTTTAGCGTGCAATTTTGTTAATTCTTACTTTACTGTGTGTAGTAAAAAATACAAACTTTCCAACAATAGACCCCGAGGAGTTCAACCACAACATTTGTGTGAATTAGAGAGAGCCGGCATGTCTCCGACTGAGGTGACTAACTTTGAGGTTCCCTCCCTGATACATCAACAGTGGGGCGTTTGTATACCGCATAGCTGTGTGCAGATTTACAAGTACAAAACATTTCGAGTCTCTGCTGTGTTTGTATATACGTGTGTGAGTTGAATACACAAAGTTGTAATCCAAACCAGAGACTCCTTTGTCTTGTTCCCAGTTCATCAGCCTGGGAACTTAGCACAAAGTCTCTTGAGTTTTTTATTCGATTTTTTTTGTCTTTCTCTTCTTTATGTTTCAAAAACATTTAAACCACCCCTAACAACGCAGTCGCCGCTGGTTTCGCATTGCCAAAGCAGCAGCATAGCCACCATTTGTGCTGCTACACTCCTCAGTACATGTAGCATCCATTGTTGTCGTCAAAGTGTTCCTTTTGCACCCCCTGCAGGAGAAGGAGAAGAAGTACATGCTTCCAGTGGACAACCTGAAGCTGCGGGATGTGGAGAAGGGCTTCATGTCCAGCAAGCACATCTTTGCGCTCTTCAACACTGAGCAGAGGTGCCCTTTTATTTGCCTACACACAAATAAAACGATGTGAGAAAATTGACAAGGCGTCACTCAGAGTTCTGACATAAGGAGGCAGCTGGCAGAAGCATCTGTTTAGGTTGGAAAAGAAATTCCTTTATTGTCCCACATTGGAGAGATTAAAAAGAGAATATGAATACTGTACAGTAAGTGGCAACATAAGTATTGTGCAGTTATTAAAAACAGCTATCCTGGTCCAAAGGAATGTGCGGGTTCCAAAATTAGATGTCTATTTGAAAATTAAAATATAGACTATTTACAATAAAACTGCAGAGTTTTATCTGCAGAGCAGAACTGTGCATATATCTGTAGAAATGTTATTTAAAATAAGTAAAATTTGTGCAAATACCACCAAACATGTAAACACTTATTGAACTAAGTTGCACCTTAGTTCAACAAGCACAATTTGCTATTGGCTAATAACTCAAGAATAGTAATATTTATGTCTAGGTTTATAAATTGTAGCATGCGAACAACTGGAAAAATATTTCTGATGCTGTAAAAAAAATGCAGCTTTCAAAACAAAATTGTGTCGTCTACAAGGTTGTTATTACATTAGCTATATTTTCAGTTGAAATGTGTGAAGTTGCTCAGGTTGCATCCTTTGACCCAGCGGTTTTGCATCCACAGAAACGTGTACAAGGACTACCGTCAGCTGGAGCTGGCCTGTGAGAGCCAGGAAGACGTCGATGCCTGGAAGGCCTCCTTCCTCAGAGCCGGAGTTTATCCTGAACGCGTAACCGTAAGCCTAAATTCTGTACTGACGAGAATATAATCACGAGTATGAAAAAGAATGCATGCATTTTCTTTAAAACGTGCAACGTTTGTACGATTAGAATCCTTCCTCTTTTTTGATTCACATTTGAAAATTTTTAGACACGTGGAGAAAATGTTCACCGATTGCATCGTCGGTTTCATTGTTGTCGTTCCTCACATGTTGTGTGTCCTTCTCAATGTCTTTGCACTGCTGTTGTGCTCCTCGTAGGAGAAGGAAGGAAAGGTACGGTATCCTTCACACCTGTTTCCTTTTTTTTTTTTGTTTCATTCACACACATTTTTACGAGCTTTTCTGAGCTTATTTTTCATTTAGTTTAATAAACTGACAGTAAACAAGAAAGGTAGCCCACATTTTCCACTACTGTAGGTATTTCAAAAATAATGAGGATATTTAATATGAGTAAGAAAACATTATAGATTTCAGGAAACATAATTATGTTTGGTCAGTAGGGGTAGAGGACAATTTTTTTTGTTTGTTTTTTTTTGTCAAAGTAATTAATGCATAATTACTGCGTTTCAAACGTTTCCAGCAAAAAATGAAAGATTGTAATCCTGTTACAGAACTCAAATAAATCTAGCAAACACATTTATTGCAGTCTAAAGAAATATATAAACACACTTACAACATTGTTATTATAGATACTTCCTCCTAAGCTTGTGCTTCTGTCTGATTTAGCTTTAGCTACTCCTACATGCAGGGATTTTCAGCATGTAAGTTGAACTAAAAATTTGAATGTAAATTATTTAAGTGCTGTTGTTGTCAAAACACCCGCTTTAAAAAACAAAAATGAAACACCAGCAAAATCCACTGCAATGCTGGACCAGAACAAACTATTACAGCAGATTCATTTGGAAGCAGAATGACCTCTTGCTCGCATTGTTTGCATTTGAGTTTCAGCGAGAAGAAATGATAAAGTTTTTGAGCTGCAAGTTGACAAAACATCCATAGGAAATCCGCTGTCCTCCCTTCCGCACGTCTCACTCGTGGCCTTTGGCGGTCCTGCTTCCTGTGAATCATCTCTGATTTATCTCCGCAGAGCGAAGGCGGCGATGAAAATGGCTCGGACAACTTCATGCACAGCATGGACCCTCAGCTGGAGCGGCAGGTGGAGACGATCCGCAACCTGGTCGACTCCTACATGGCGATTGTCAACAAGACCGTGCGCGACCTGATACCGAAGACGGTCATGCATCTCATGATTAACAATGTGAGCCGTCAGCGAGGTTTCTGCGAAAGTAACAAAAAAGCTTTTAAGATTTAAAAGTGCAAAAAACAAAAAAAGTCATTTGAAATCTTTGCTCTTTTTTTTTATTAAAGACAAAAGAGTTCATTAACGCTGAGCTGCTGGCCCAGCTCTACTCATGCGGTGACCAGAACACTCTGATGGAGGAGTCTCAGGAGCAGGCGCAGCATCGCGATGAGATGCTCAGGATGTACCACGCCCTGCGGGAGGCGCTAGGCATCATCGGCGACATCAGCACAACCACAGTGAGCACATCAATGCCGCCGCCGGTGGATGACTCCTGGCTGCAGGTCCAACGCAGCGGATCCGGAGGAAGGTATGTCAGACATGGACGTGAAATATACTGCTCAAATAAATAAAGGGAACATTTCACTTCAATTTTGTGTGTGGCTCCAAATCCAGGCCTCCATTGGTTAATAAATTTGATTTCCATTGATGATTTTTGTGTGATTTTGTTGTCAGCACATTCAACTTTGTACAGAACAAAGTATTCATTGAGAATATTTCATTCATTCAGATCTAGGATGTGTTACTTGAGTGTTCCCTTTATTTTTTTGAGCAGTGTAGTTTGATTCTTTTCTTGAACGTCGTGCCCTGTAACGATCTTCACGGTGGTTACAGGTTTCTTTATGCAAATGAACTTTTTGCAGGTGGCTCAACTTCGAAACTTAAAGAAAGCGCTAGCTGATCAACTTTTTCAGAAAAAAAAAACAAAGAAACAAACACTATATCCAACCTTCAAAGAAAGACCTAGTTCAAATAAATGAACTAGCTAAACCTCATCTTGGCATTTTAAAGCTTTTTTGTGCAGTCAGAATATCATCTGCGCCTCTCCGGAAAATCTGAATCTCTGAAACTCGTTATTTCCGATCTCCGTTTCTTCTCCAGGTCTCCAGCGACCAGTCCAACTCCAAATCGCAGGGCTCCACCGGGCCCACCAGCTCGCCCGGGCTCCCGCGGACCCCCACCGGGGCCTCCTCCTGCTGGGGGCCCCCCAGTACCATCTCGCCCCGGAGCGTCTCCAGATCCTCACGGCGGGCCGCCTCCCACCGTGCCCTCCCGGCCTAACCGCGCGCCCCCCAGTGTGCCAAGGTGAGTAGAAGCATGAGAAGCCTTTTTTAGGCCAGGAGCCCGAAATGGAAACATGTTGCAAAAAGTTGGACATTCAACCCATATTTATGATATTCTATGTCAGGGGAATGTGAAGATGCCTGGATGAGGGGATAAATGAGGTAAATGAAACTAGAGAGTGCTGCTTTGTGATAGACGACAGTAGATGAAGTAGCAGCAGATGGTTAGAAATCCTCAAGTAGACACATTTCAAGTGACACCGACTACATCTTTTTCCTTCTATTTTGTAATTAAGTGAACTTTAAACACAATAATGCTTCGTCGGCTACAAATTACGAACAACTTATTATTTGCACCCATGCTTACATCGCATCAGATAATTGTTTTCGCCTGGTGTCCATGGCCTCTATGTTTCCCTTGTGCTTTCCTGTGTTTGTGATTTATTAGCGTTTTTAAAGCTAATTGTCTTAAAGCCGCTTGCCTCTTGTTTCTACTGTAGAATCTATAGTCTATGTGCAAAGCTCTCTTTGGGGGGAAAAAACAAACAAAACAAACATAAACTAAAGATCTCTTTATGGGTCTTGAACACGGATTTATTCTTAAAGCGAGCTGCGCACATGCATCGCTGGCCTGCCCCCTTCACTGTAACTCTTTGCACTTTTTCTGTCTCCCTGCTCCTTCCTGTCCTTCTCTCTCTCTCTTTCTAACACACACACACACATAACTACTGTTCCTCCTGCAGAGTCACTATCACTGACCGATGAAGACTAACGTTTCTCGGTATGTTGGTTGCTGTGTGTCCCCCCACCCCACCCCCCTAAATGCTCGTCGTGCTCACAAACCTCCTCGGACTTCATCTTTTTGCTGCATGGCATTTTTCTTTTCTCTCTTTCTCACACTTTTCTATTCTCAGAGCAATGCATGAGTCTTTAGGAGTTATTCATCTGAACCAGGTCACAGGAAACAGAAAAGTGTGGGTTATTTTTAGTGCCCAGGAGCACAGCTTTTGTGTTTTTTCTTGAATTTTGGTTGCAAACACCATGACATCCCACCTGTCCGTTGATGCGTCTCTGTTGATTGGAGAAAATGCACAACAGAGCTACGTGCAGGCTAACCCCAGTTGGATGTGCAGTCGCAGCATCTTCATTCGTTCTCCCTTTCCGGCCTATATTACGTTTCTTTGTTTCCACATACCAGAGAACTGAGAACTCTGTAATGTTGGTGGTACTTTTGTGATTTATCCATGTGCACAAGATGCAGTTCTGTGCAAAGGAATTCATAACCCTTGAAGCTTTTTTTTTTTGTTTTGTTTTTTTTTTACATTTAGTCATGTAAAAAAAAAAACTTACATGTATTTTATGGAGATTTGATGTTATTGAACAGAATCTAACGCTTCCTATGTTGAAGGAAAATTATACTTGCATTTTAGATTAAAATTTTAAAAAGTGTTATGTATTTGTATTTAGCTCTCCCTTTGACAAGTGCCTTGGGTTTTATCTCTACCACCTTTCCACAAATGAAGACTAAATAAAATATTTTTCAAATTCTTCTCTGAGTTTTTTTTAGCAGTTGTCTCTGGGACAACTGTAAACTGAGATTAAGTCACACAAAATTGGGCTCTATTTACTTAAAATGGGCTTAATACAAATCCACCACGCAACTTTCAGGTTTTATCTGCAAAAAAAAAAAAAAAAAAAGAATTTTGAAAACAAGTCAGTTTCCTCCAGCTTGATAATTATGCTCGACTTCGTCTCGTCTGTCACATAAAATCCCGCTAAAATTCGAAGACGTTGCGGTTCCAACGACACAAAATGTGACCTCCTTCAAGGGTGTGGATGCTTTTGCAAATCACTGCGGTAAAGTAACTGTGCGGGTCTGTGAAGTCTTTTCGTGCACCCGTATGAATAATCCTGGGAGAACACCAAAGCCTTAATCCAGGGTGTCCGTGAAGAAAGCAAAACAGCAAGAAAAAAAGTCCACTTTATGAAGAACAGATCTGACCTCTTCTCTTTTCTTTATGTCTTCCCCTCTGTTTGTCCGTGCCAGTCGGAGACCCCCGCCTTCTCCAACACACTAGACCTCAGAGCTCCTTCCTCCCTCCTTCGTTTCCCCCCTCTGGACGAGCGAGAGAGAGAGAGAGAGAGAGAGGCGCTTCGGACAACAGCGCCACCTTCCTCTCATCTACTGCCCGGTCTGACCCTCCTGTTCCCACCTCCCATCCCTCCCCCATCCGCCCCTCTGTTTTCACACAGAGAAGCAGAATACTTGAACGCATGACTTACGTACAACTTTGTTCCTCACAATTTAATCGCAGAGACCATGAAATGATCATATTAGACAACCGAGTCAACGTATTGTATAGCCACGCAAGTTCAAAGCAGAATGCTTCCCCTCCTCTTGTATCGAGAGGGGTTAAACATTTGCGAGGTTAGCATGAATCTCTGCCTGAGCTTCTCGAAAGCGTCGTCTCAGTTTTAACATTCGTTTCATTTCCTTTCATCAGGATTTGTTTGCTCACCTTTGTTTTTTTTTTTTGTTGTTTTTTTTTTTTGACGAACAGAATGATGTAAAACCAGAACCTTTTATTCAGGATGGGGAAGTGCTTTACATTATTAGATGTTTGTTTGTTTTTTTTTTTTGAACATAAACATCATATTAGTAGCGTGATGCATGCTTTGAGATCGTGAAAGACTTACTCCATCTTTGTGTTGTAAAGAAATTAGAGCAATGTGGTTTTTCTTTGCAACATTTGCTGCTCAGTGGTGGAAGTGTTTCTGATGTGCAAACGGAATTCAGTCTAATTGTTTTGGGGTTGTTGTTTTTTTTTTTTTTATCCAGATTTTAATTTGTAATCTTCCTTAAAAAAAAAAAAAAAGAAAGAAAGAAAGAAAAAGCAAGCAAGGAAACAATCTTATTAGTTTTTATCATATCATATCTCTTTTAACATACTTTCTTTTCTTGTTGATGGAGTTTCTCTTTTGATCTTTCATCCTGCCAAATTAGTTCTTGTTTGATTTTTCTATGTTCCTTAAACAGTTTGGTCAAACAAGGGTGGGTCATCTCATACAGACACCCCCAAATACCATTTTCCTCTCTCTCTCTCTCTCTCTCTCTCTCTCTCTCTCTCTTTTTTTAAAGCTAATCCATGCTTTCCCACTGTCCAAATCTATAAAGCAGCAGCACCACCCAGGTGAGGAAGACGTGGATGACATCTGAATTCTTCAATTTGAAAAACCTGAATGGACAAAAGTCTTCTTCGTTTTTCCCTTTTATTCTCTCTATCATCAGAATCACGTAGCGGATCCTCTTATTTTGCCAGTCGCAGTCTTCAGAAAGTCTCACTGTTGCTAAAGCTTTGTCACATCCTCGTCTTAAAACTGCTGCGCTCTCAGATAACCTATGCAAAAGAGAAAAGTGGTTTCTCGGTCTTTTTATGGCAAAAAGATGCATCTAATACAGATTATTTCCCCCTTTTGTTCCTCTGCTTATCAAGGCATTACTACTACTGCTTAATGTTGCAGAGGGATTTTTTCAACTTTCTCTTCCACAAAGGACAGATTTGGAAAGTTTAGTGGAGGGTAAGAGATTTAATTGAGGAGTGTCAAACTGAAGTGGGCCACATTCCAATTTGTCAAAACCTTTTTTCTTTTCCACTGGTGAATCATGTATTTTTAATTTTTTTTAATTCATTTATTCCACTAAAGCAAACTGAAGGTTGGGATTGCATTGCAGCAACATGTGAGAAAGGTTCAAGAGGTCTGAATGCTTCTGCGACTGCGCCGCATAACTGAACAAAACGAAACCAGAGAAGGAGACTTTGTGACCCGAGTTGTTTCTTTAGACCGTTAACTCTTCATGTAGAGTGTAATACAAGATGGTGGCCTCGTAACTCAGGTTAGTCAGGTTTGAGCACATGATGCCTCCAATGTTAAATTAAACAGGAAAAATATTTTTAAAAAATGCATTCAAGTTGCTGATCTGCCATTTCTTCTTTCTCTCTTTTCTCCTGCTCTCTTTTCTCTCAGTGGTCACGGGGGTGAGTGAGAACATGAACAGTCCCAGTCTATGCATAAAGTACCACTGCTTGTGTTGAGTTGTCACATTACTGAGCAGAAACCACCTTTCAATCCCTTCGTTTTTCTGCCACTGAGCTCTGCTGTCAGTGTTACGTGTTGTATTTTGACCCCAAACACAAACAACCCACTAGCCTTACCTTATCCTGTGATCATCACTAGAAAGAAAAAAAAAAATCACCTATTTGTGCATCTCTGATGTCAACATCTGCAAAGCAAACATGAAGTCATATCCGATGTAACAGTAATTAGTTTATTAATGTATTCGTGTGGTGCATTTTATTAGACATGTACTCTCTTCTGTTTAGATCATTTAGTCTACATTGTATGCAGCATCGGAATATTTAAACCATGAGTAAAGGAGCATAACAGAATACTTGAAAAATAATAATAAAAAAACTGTGCTGTAAATGGATGCTGGCAGGTTGTTTGATACTTTTGCTTGCATCAGGGAGGGTGTATTTGTGTTTTCTCTCTGAATTTATAAAATGTTAGACGGACGGTGTGTGTAAACTGGCTGAGGACAAGTCCTGCTGCTTGTCTCAGCTGATGTGGAAGAAACTGTAAGAGTATCCTGGAGGACTGCTGTACTGTCAACTACATATTAAAAGACCTCTGTGTGCTGTAGTGTCTGTTTTTGTTTTTCCTCTAACATTTGGGCACTTTTCATGAATAATGATCACAAAGCTTTCCATAGTAAAAGAAGAAAATAGAACTAAAACTGGTAATAAGTGAATCAAATTAAAGAGGAACTAAAAGATTTAGCTTAATATAGCATACTGTAATTTTTATAATTTAGTTTTATTAAAAGACTTGCTGCTTGATAAGAGTAAATTATTCCTAGTCATTTTCTGTGGGCAATACCTGTGTTAGAATTAGATTGGTCATATAAAGAATATGAACTCGTTGAGAGTTGTATTTGAAGTGGTATCTAAGTTGGCAAAATATAACATGTAAAATAGTTGATTTATTGGAAAATAAATGTGTTTATAATACCAAACAATTTGGTGAATCCCAACAAAAAGCGAGTCCAGACAGCTTGAGTTGCTCAATCAGTTTTATTCAGGAGGAAAGTATTACTCAAGAGAAAAGGAGAAAAAAAAATAGCTTGGGTTGAAGCAGCACTCAAAAATCAGGTTGCTCTGTGATCCTTCATCCTAAACTCACTTCAAGTTTATATTAAAACTGATTAGATGAGATGCTAACTTACTCCAAATAAATATATTTTTTTCCATTTTGTTGGTGTTTGTAATAAACCACAGCCAGTCAGTAACGGCCAACAATCCCAACTCTGCACTAACAGACATACACACAACCCCATACAGCCAGTTAATGTGGCGAAGCAGCTTCTCCCAGAATCCCCCTCAACACATCAGGCATTATGAATATACAATATATTACACAGTTACAGTATATACAACACCTCTTTTACAATAAAAGACGGTTAATGTTTTTTCTTGGTGTCAATCACACGTGACATCGTTAAGCGGTGAAGTAGGAAGTCATTTCATCCACATTGTTGATTTCACACAACTTGGAGGAGAGAGGGGAGAAAATGCAGATTGTATTGTGCATTTGTCTGTTGGTCGGACCACCCAAGAAAAACAAAAAAGCGTTCAAACAAAAAATATATATATATTAAAACTAAATCTGAAGAAAGAAAATGTAGGGGTTCTTAAAATAGAAATGTTGTGTTTTACTATTGGTGCTTTCTGCAATTCCTGTAACTGTTTCCCATACATTTTTTTCTTGTAATTTACATGGTTTGCTTTGTGGAGTCTGCAAAAACTACCACATTCTGCACCATTACTTCACCTTTTGATACTTTTAGCAATAAACATTCTGTGTGCAATTTCAAAGCCTAGTAAATGAGAGCCAATATGAATTGTTCTCAAATTGGAAATGCTCCAATTTTGTTTAGTCAAATTCATAGGAAGGCGATCTGCTTGCAAACACAAAGCCAGAGTTGTATTATAATGTTGGGATTCTCTGCAATTCCTTGCTTTTAATGCCCAAAAGAGATATATTCACAAGTGTTATTACGCAAGTCCTATTGCTGAATGGAGATGACAAATGTAACATTTTTTTTCATGAGTTTAATACTTTTTCTTTACCCAATTGGTCCCTCAACTATGGAAAAGATTTTTTAAAGTCCAAGTTGTCCTATTTAAAACGTATGGCCATATTCTGAGTGTGACAGAGCGCACACCGGTAATTAAATTCAGGGGAATCCTCAGCATGAAGCTTCATGGGACACGCCCTCCCCTTTCACTGAAACCCATGCTATTCCAAACGGTCCGTCAGCACAGGGTGAGCTGTGTGAGAAAGCTTTGTACAGATTTAGTGCAATCATATTTGTATAATCTAACATTTTTTTTTACAAAAACAAAGTAGAAGAGATGCACTTTTGGCTAAGAGAAAAATCTGGATTCCAAGCAAAAAAAAAAATTCACTTACACAGTCTCACGCATTCCAGTTGTCAAAGATGTGTATTGAATCCTTTGATATGTAAAACCAAACATGAACGTAACAGAACACAACAAGCCCTGAAGAATAGTGTCCCAAACGTAAAACCCCATGAAAATAATTTTTTTAGCCGAGACGCTCAGTTGAGGAAGAGAAGCAAGCGACTGGAATGTAAAATATGTCTGTGATGAAACCAGCAAAATGCCTCATAACATGTTGTAATATAATATCTGCCATAGTAAATATCAATTTAAGGAAATAGGTTGGGAAGAAACCTTTAGCACAGCGACCCAAGCTTTTAGAACAGAGGTGTGTTGTGCCTTCAACATATTTAATCATTGTTAAACTTCAAGGGGTCTTTTAAATTGCATCCATGCCCATATTTCACCTGATCAACCACCGGTTTGTAACGGTGTTGACGTCTCAGTCTAAGCACGTTTAAAACACATCAACACAAAATAGATTTCACAGGTATTAACATTATGTAATGTACAAACATAAGTTATTTTCAGTGTTCAAAGTAGGAAACAAAGGAGACGAACGTAGTTTTGGAAACGGTACCAATCAGCAACACCCTCTTGAACTTCCTGAACTTGTTAGTGTAACTTAGCAACCTCATGACTTCAAAACTAAACGGCACAAAGTTTCATGTGCACCTGTCGACTTAACTTTGCCCTACAGCTCTCTGCATTTAATGTTAGTCCAACCAACCTGGTGTCTGCTCTCTGCACCCATCTCCTTGGATTTCACACACATTTAAATACTTGGGTTTATTACATTCAAATCTGATGCTTTTGGCATGAGTACAGTGAATTGAAACTGATTTTTGCACAAGAACTGGTCATTTTTAGCAGCTCTTTGAGTGCTGTACCAGCAAAGGGGGCAGAATATATGGCCCCAGTATTGCACATGTATGAGTTAAGTGACAAAAGGAGGATAGGATTTAAAAATTCCAATAAGGAGATTAATCAAGTTTTGTTTTGGAATACTAATCATCTCCCATCTGTAAAAAAAAAAAAAAAAAAAGACAAACCAAAACAAGGGGGAGCAAACTGAACAAATAGGGGCCATTTCAGTGTAACTGGGTGAGACGGTCGTTAAAGTGGGAAACTTCTTGAGATGTGTAAATATGTTCATCAAGCTACAAATCATTCAACCACAGAACCTCAGTCACACTCTGGGCCTCACACCACCAGGATCTTTACTTCATCCTGTTTGTCGGGCCGGTAAAAGAAGGGGATGCAGGGATTTTCGCCCAGGAACGGCGGTGACCGCGGAGCTCCCTGGGGGTTCTGGATCTCCTGGAGAAGCTGCATGATTTGCTGGGCGGTGCCGTCCTCTCTGGGCCCCAGAGGTTTGGACTCAGTCTGAACAGAACTATATGGTAATGTTTGGGATGAGGCAGCTTCTAGACCTTGTAGTGGGGAGGTCTCAGAGAGTGGGCTGACCTCTATGGCTTCTGTAGAGAACAACACATGAAGTTTCAGGATGATAAAGTCGATTAGAAAACACATCAAATACACTAGAGCTGCACTTAGAAGTTGGCTGGTGACTGGAATATGTTGATTTTAACCTGACCAGTGTTTTTCAACTTAGTAAATGAACCACATAAAAAAAAAAAACAGGCTACCAAGTTAAATGACAACAATGAGAACAATTGCCACAAACTCAGTTATGCATTAGTGCGAAAAAATGGTGGGATTTTTAAATTTTGTTGGATTTCCACGATTGCAAAACAGCGAAAAACTGGAAGGTCTGATTGATGCAATTTGGCGACTGCAGTCTAGAGAGCCACATAAAAAGTAAAGGTGGGCCGAATTGGCCCATGAGCCTGCTTACTGGTCTTTAATCCTCTGACCTCCACCGGACTTGAAATTGCAAAGTTTTAGTTTTCAGATCATTTTCTGATTTGGTCCGTCTTGCTCTTACCTTCTCCATCGACAGCATTAAGCTCATGCTTATGTGCTTGCTGCTGTAAGTGAGAGTGCTCCTCCCCAACAGGAAGCAGGTCGGGGTTCGCTGTTCCCATGGCGGCTGTAGCTCCAGTGTAACGATTGTACCAGTCGTTCCTCTCGGCCACAAGCCTGAGGACAAGATCCTGCAGCTCTGCCAGTTTGGCCTGAGGGCGAAATGAAACAAATCATTACTACTGGTGGTGCAAAAATAATTTTTTTATATATATATATATGAGACAGAGAGAGAGAGAAGAGAGGCTGATTTCAATCTTTAAAGTGATCTAAAGGACATTTATGCTGATGAAGTGTTTACAGAGTAATGAGAAAACACAGAAAAATGTCAGTTTCAGAAAACATTTACCATATTTTCCGCACTATAAGGCGCACCGGATTATAAGGCGTGCCTTCAATGAATGGCCCATTTTAAAACTTTTTTCATATATAAGGCGCACCGCATTATAAGGTGCATAGAATAGACGCTACAGTAGTGGCTGGAGTTACGATATGCATCCACTAGATGGAGCTGCACTAAAGTGAATGTCAACAAAACAGTCTGACTCCAGTCAGCGAGGAGAGCCTTCCGCGACTGGGCCGGGGCGTGGCCGGACGATGGTCACCCTTCTCCGTTGGCGCACAGCATGTTGGTGGAGAACGTGGTGCTAAATGACCTGCAGACGACCTGATTCTAGATGGTCGGTATTTAGATAGGTCAGTCAAACTTTATTAACAAACCAGCGTTCTGACAACTATCCCAGCATGCACCGCAGGCTTCTTCTTCTACGGGCGAAAATGAAGTCGGCGGCTGCTTACTGTAGTTGCATGACCTATTGTGGCTCGATATTGGTCCATATATAAGGCGCACCGGATTATAGGGCGCACTGTCGGCTTTTGAGGAAATTGAAGGTTTTTAGGTGCGCCTTATAGTGCGGAAAATACGGTAAATGTGCCTCTCCATCAGAACTCATCAGTACAGAACCTTCATCTCCTCTTTGTCTTGGGCCAGCATGTTGATATACTGCTCTTTCTCCTGGTGCTTCTGCTTCATTATGGCCCGCTGACTTTGGTACAGGGCGATGTACTCCCCTTAAAATAACAATGAGTAAAAACAAAAATATAATTAAATTCACAAACTACAACCATAAAATTTTTAAAAAGCAAGTAGTTCATACCTATAGTGTCAGTCTCTCCACTCAGCTGGATGCAGCG